CGACCTAATACCATTAACCACACATTTTTACCTTGTATTGAAAAACTGTGTCACTCCATCCGAAACTAATATTTATAAAGAAAGGTGGAACCATATGACGAGCACCATCTCTATTGTGGCTAACAAATTCAAGAAATTCAAGCATTATATTAAGAACAACCATGATCATCACTCGTTCTTTACTTCACTGAAATCTTTAAAGGATGACGATATTATCATTACCAGACCAGATAAAGGTCGTGGAATCGTTACCCTTCACAAAGATGATTGCCAAAACAAACTGGATGATAGTTTGATAAAGCCCATACTGGATGATAGCTAAATCTAAACGAATTAGCTGTGACACTGCTAGTTATCTTTTAAAGCTAGAAGACAAATCGAATAGGTAGTTACGCCCTATAAAAACATCTAATGGGGAAGCCACTTACAACTTTCTCACTACTTCTGGCTCAAAACCTGGTTTCCTATATGGCCTGCTTGAAATAGACAAACTTGGACATCCCTCTCAGCCCATCATTTCTGCAGTTGGTACTTTCAATTACATTGCGAAATTCTCCCCGCTAACGACCTATCAGTATACTATAGACAACTCTTTTGTTTTTGTCAAAGAAATTTGCTCATTCAAACCCTTACGCCTTTGTACTATGGCCAGTTTTGACAGATAATCATCATTTACAAATGTCCCACCAAGAGAAACAACAGAAATAATTGTAGACAAAACTACCTCTTTGAATTTAAACTCGTTCGGTCTGAACAAAACAACCTAGGGAAAACTTTGTATATCGCTGCTCATCATTATTTAAAAAAAAAATTTAATGGCACCCTTTACTCTCAAGGTGAAGGCGTCGCAATGGGATCATCAATTGGTCCTTGTTATGCTAATATCTTAACATGAACAAGCTTGGCTCAACAACTGCCCTTCGAACTCAGTTTTGCCGTCGATATATGGACGACACTTTCCTGCTTTTCTCATGTCAATCATTTCCTTCCATATCTTAATTCATAACACCCCAACATTAGATTTACTTGTGAAGCTGGACAAAACAAAAACAAAACAACTATCATTCTTAGACTGCCATTACGTTTCATAATGGCTGTTTTTCTATCAACACCTATAGGAAACCACCATTCATTAGCCTCGGACTTTATTTTCTGAGCTACACAACTCACATTTACAAGCTTAATAACCTGAAAACACTAATTAACCGAGCTTACAACATGTGTTCCACGTGGGCCAATTTCCACGCCGAATCTATGTATTCAAAGGATTATTTTATCTCGAATGGGTACCCATCTAACCTATTTCATAGTCCTTAATAATAATCTTAGAAGCTTTCACACAAATCGGCAGTTACCACGGTTAACAAAGACATCAAATATATATAATTACCATATATGGGCAGTCTTAGTTTTAAAACAGAAATTCGTTAAACAAAATCGTCAAACAATGCTATCCTCAAGTCAGTTT